TTTCAATCAATATTACTATATTTGCGCATGTGAACACTACTCACCCGAAGGTGATACTGCAATACTTCCCTCCTCTTCCTGCTACTCTTTATTCCATGGGCAGGTACCGTAACAGTTCAGCTCTAGACTTTGTCTTCCTCTCCAGCCTAGTGCGAGATGTTTACCATTTCAATTTTTAATGACTGGCGACCAATCAAACAGTACTGTGTGGATCTCCTCAGCAAACAAAATCTGTGTGCAAGGGTGATGTCTTCTATAGAGTATCCAGACTTCGCCCAGGGATATTCAACGATCATTGAAAGTCATCGATGGGGAGAAGGGAGCATGCCACTCACTTATCATTAACTCCTCTTCGAAAACGTTCTATATTTATATTTAAAGACATTTTCCGCGGTTGCCTGGTAGACACAATTTCTTTCGCGTTCATGTGCAGGTCCGCAATAGCGCACTGTACCGCAGTACACCTTACGAAAGAACGCGATACGAACGCCAGGTTGTTGTGACTTGAGCTTCGCCCCGCCCCCTTCAGCATGCCTCCACCCATAGCGAGATATGTCCACCTACCTTGATTTTAGTCAGCTAGCCCCTATTATTTTATACGGATTGATGGACTGCTCACCTCCGATGACGGTCCTTTACACCCAAAAATGCACGGGAACGGGGCTGGAGGGTGAAGGTACTCGGGTGCCATTTCCATGCTCCGCCTGCGCCATCCTCAGCATACAACACTTGCGTCGATACCAGAATCCTTCCGCAAAACACGCCCTCAGTGGTAGCGAACAACTAGAGGTGAGAGGGCGGTGACAAGTAGCGGATATTGGTATGGTTGCGTGTGGCTGGAAGGCAGCAGCGTTGGCGGAATATGGGTACAGTACCTGGGTATTATTACACAGCTCCCCTCCCCTGCACTTTTGAGCGGAGAATTCAGCACGATACCGCACCTGCTGGAGCCCTTCGCCTCACTTATAGCCACACTACCCTACAGGGGCTACAGGGCACATCGTTGTTGGGAATCCCCAATAGGGGGGGTCGTATTTGGGCTGGGAAAAATTTATTTTGATAGTTGATTTTTCTCGCTTCACGGACGTTGTAAAGGGGGGGGTCGTACTTGCTCATTGTTGGGAGGGGGGGGGTCGTATTTACTTTCTGGCCTTTCTAGGAGTGGTGGTTGACTTTTCGTGATTTTCCTGTTTCATGCGTACTATATGCCCCTCCCCCCCCCCCACCGCTCATAAGAGTAACGTGTTTAACACCAAACGCACCTTTACCAGCTGAACAACAGTTTTCATGAGGGTGTCGCTCATTTCTAGCTTCAACAGATCATCGAGTTGTTCCAGCAAGGCTTCACCAACTTGTCTATGCGAGCCTCCATTGTCCTAAAGAAATGTGAATGAGGAGTGCAAATGGGCAGAGAGAGTGAGACAGAGAAAAAAAACAAGAATGTGCTTTGCTCAAAATACAGAATGCAGACCGGTAACATAGTTACTGAAGCAATCCCTTCTCTTTACATTCATACTGCCAGAGAGGGTTTGAACTGCACTACCCAACAGATCCTGAGCCAGAAAATTTTCCATGTCAGTGCTGAATGCTAATTAGCTTAAAGGCAGTAGGATTAAGGCAAGTAGGATGGTTTAAGGCTAAGTAGGATGGTTTCCTACTTAGCCTTAAATGCTAGTAGGACGCTGTATAGTGGGGGTCAAAATCCTGCGAAAAAGAGCCTCCGTTCTCTCTGGGCTAGTAATCAATTTTTGGACTGGTTGCCGGTAGATCTTACCAGTCACCGCTTCCGAAGGTACGGCTGCATATGTGTACATGTATGCATCACGGTCGCTTCATACCAATCCCTTCGCTTCATAATTTGCTTAGCAAATGAATGAATATGAGCGTCAGGAACGGTCGTCCATTTGTGGGCGGGCGGGCGTGGCGGGCTTCGGGACGTAAAGTTGTGGCTTGATAGGGCCCTCAGGGCAGCTTCCTCGGGAAAACCGCTATGCAGCGCCTACCCAGGGTCGCGGAATTCTATCGTTCCAGGAGTATTGGTCCTAGTCGCCGGGGGATTTATCGTGCCAACTGCCTCTAACGATTCAGATCTCATACCCTACTAGAAATGAATATGATGAACTCTTCTTCTCAAGGACACGTTCTTCGCTAGGGTAGCAGGGCACATCATTGGTTGGGGATTTCAGTCGAGTCTGTACGACCCCCCCCCTCTTCCGGCCCTCTGTTCCTCCTCATCGCATCGAGCTCTCGAGCGGGGAGGGGTGGGGGAGGGTAAATAGCAAATGTGAGACAAGCAAGTCGCGAGAATTTGGTAGAGGGGGAAAGGGGCGGGGGAATACGACCCCCCCCCCTCTACCAAATTTAGTTCTTGCCACTTTTCCTCAAAATTTCCCGAAAAGTTCCCTACTTCTCCCCAAAAATTTTGTGTTAAGCGGTGGGGGGAAGCATATAGTACGCATGAAACAGGAAAATCACGAAAAGTCAACCATCACTCCTAGAAAGGTGAGAAGGTAAATATGAATCCCCCCCTCCCAACAATGACCAAGTACGACCCCCTCCCCTTTACAACGTCCGTGAAGCGAGAAAAATCAACTATCAAAATAAATTTTCCCGGCCCAAATACGACCCTCCCCCCCCCCCCCCCTATTGGGGATTCCCCAAGCAACGATGTGCCCTGTTGGGCAGGGGCCATTAAAGTGAGGCGAAGGGCTTCGCAGCTGCAGTATCGTGCTGAATTCTCCGCTCAAAAGTGCAGGGGAGGGGAGCTGTGTTATAATACCCAGGTACTGTACCCATATTCCGCGCGCCAACGCTGCTGCCTTCCAGCCATACGCAACCATGTATACGTAACCATACCAGTATCCGCTACTTGTCCCGCCCTCTCACCTCTAGTTGTCCGGTACCACTGAGGGCGTGTTTTGCGGAAGGATTCTGGTATCGACACAAGTGTTGTATGCTGAGGAATGGCGCAGGCGGAGCATGGAAATGGCACCCGAGTACCTTCACCCTCCAGCCCCGTTCCCGTGCATTTTTGGGTGTAAAGGACCGTCATCGGAGGTGAGCAGTCCATCAATCCGTATAAAATAATAGACTCGACGTAGCGATTGCGGACCTTGCACTATGAACGCGAAGAAATTCTGTGTTCTACAAGGGCAACCGTCGGAAAATGTTCTTTAGATTAAATATAGGACGTTTCGAAAGAGGAGTTTAGTGATAGTTGAGTGGCGATGCTCTCTTCTCCCCATGGATGACTTTCAATGATCGTTCGAATATCCCTGGGGGAAGTCTGGATACTCTATAGAAGACATCACCCTTGCACACAGATTTTGTTTGCTGAGGAGATCCACACAGTACTGTTTGATTGGTCGCCAGTCATTAAAAATTGAAATGGTAAACATCTCGCACTAGGCTGGAGAGGAAGACAAAGGACGAGAGAGAGAGAGAAAAGAGAGAGAGAGAGAGAGGAAGACAAAGTCTAGAGCTGAACTGTTACGGTACCTGCCCATGGAATAAAGAGTAGCAGGAAGAGGAGGGAAGTATTGCAGTATCACCTTCGGGTGAGTAAGTGTTCACATGCGCGAATATAGTAATATTGATTGAAATGAAAATTTCTGTACCATTTCTATCTTCTCATAGACCTCCGCGAAGAAGATACACAGATTAATTCTGTGCTCTGGTGAAACGTGAG